TTCCTCCTCTGAAGCCCTTTAACAGCAGTCTGAGAGCAGAGTGGTTAACAGGCTGAGCCACGCTGGGCCACAGGCTTGGCACCGCTCTGAGAGGAGAAGAAAAGCTCTGAAAAGAGGGTGTTGGTGGAGAGACATCAGGAAGTAATGTTGATTGGCCTAAACAGAAACAGGCGCCGAGGTTACTCTCAGTCATGTTGTGCCACTCTTTCATTCACCAGGGAGGAGATAGAGAGAGTCGGGGTGCGTACAGTAGCGAGGGGCTGCTGGTGAGATGGGGTGAGGGGGAGGACCCTGATCCCCTGCCAGAAACCTCACTGTTCACATCAGAACTGAATTAAAGAGTGGAAAGGCAACTTTAGAACGATGCCTCGCCTCAAAACAAACTCCAACAGCGTTCCCCAAAACAGAAACTAAAAGAACGGTACTTAAACTGCTCATTCCCCCCCAACAAACTCCACCTCACTGAGTAAATCTCTGCTCTTTCCCACATCCCTGAACACCACTCAACCTCTCACCGACTTTCTCCCCCAGTGCCCAAACAGGGAGGGAAAAGGGATAGAGTGATATCCCCCCCCCCCTCACCCCTTCTCTTCAGCGCAGCTTTCCTTCCCTACACGGGGCAAAGTGATGCCACACTCGTCCCAGAAGGATTCATAATCTACTTTAAGCATCAATTTAGCTGGATTATAACAGTTTAGTTGCCACTTTACACCTGCTGGAGCGACCCAGCAGCTGGTGAGCCCCTTGAGTCCTTTCACGAGGTAAATAAATGGGAAACAAAAAGGGCTTTATGAAATGTGACATATCCAAAACAAATGACAGTCCGCTGGGAGGAGAGCTTCCTGTAGCCCCTTTCTGTCACCATCGCTCTCCTCCCTCACTCCCATTCATACGGGCTATTGTCGAGGCCCAGACAGGGACCATTGTGCTGCCAGCTTTTACTCCCTGGAAGACATGACACAAAAGAAACGGCGCACAAATGTGAAAATAAACTGAAAGACTACAAATGCACCTTCTCAGGCTGTGCCAGTCCCTGCCTGGCCGAGGGAGAAAACCCTGAACGTTTTAGTGGTTCACACCTGAATTTACATTCGAGGGCGGACTGCACAGCAAACATGACGTTATGCGGACCGCTGTCTCAACAATGATAATGCAAGAAAAGTATGTTTTCGGCAAAGGGTGTTTGACGTAACAAAATGGGTTTAAAAAAGGGAAATAAAGTGACTTCCTGCCATAAAGTGCATATAAAATAGCAGGTTCACAGAGGGACGCCATGTAACAAAGAGCCTGAGGCAGTTTGTATGTATGTGCACATTCAGCTGACAAGCAGACACAGCTGCAGTTCACTGTGCGGCAGAATATGAGACAAAGACAGAAACCAAAACTGGTTTCAAGACAGATCTGGCATGTAATCAATACTAAATACAACATTAATGACTTCAACTGTCAAACGTAGTTTCTATGCCACAAAAATAATTATATGGAATAGAACCCAATGATTCCCACATAAAGGAGGGAACTATCAAAAGTAAAGATGAAAAACTGCTAACACTAAAAATGGCAGATTATTGAAGGGTTTACAATGTAATTAAAAAAAGTATTAATAGTTCAAAAACTATCTTCAGGGATTTGATGTAGAATTTGAAAGTTGGTGTAGAGTAGCTGTAAGGAGACATTTTTCCAAGGTTTAATTATTGTAAATCATAAGATAAGAACTGTGTTGGGAGAAGTACTCAGATCCTTGACTTGAGTAAAAGTACAAATATTATGGTCTTAAAAAGTACAAAGGTATTAGCATCAAAATATACTTAAAGTAAAAAAAAAAGTACTCATTCTGCACAATTATTGCATTATTTCAGAATAATATAAATTACAGAAGTATCAGCTAAATGTATGCAAACATGTTGTTATGCAGAACGGATCTTTTCACAGTATTATATTATTATTGCTTTGCTATATATTATCCCGTTTTTATACATGTAAGATCCTTCTTGTATTGTAGTTTGTTAATGTGGACGAAATGTAGATGCTAAAAATACTGTGTAGATTAGTAGTACAGTACTGCATTATACCATATCAGCATATCGTGTGTTTTATATGCACAAAGTAACTGTGAGTGTTCAAGTAAATGTAGTGGATTAAAAGGTAGGAAATTCGCCTCTGAAATGTAGTGGAGTAGAAGTTTAAGGTATAGAAATGGAAATAATCAAGTAAAGTACAAATATGTAAAAAAAGGTACAATACTTGAGCACATGATGCCCACCTTGTTAAGAAGAATACATTTGTTCAGCAATGTGTCTGGGCTCATATAAAAGGCAGCTATTAAAAAGAGTAGAGAGGTTGACACCTTTTCTTAAAACTCTTATATAAATCTCTAGCAGCCAGTCTGTTTGAGTTTTAAATTATATTGATGTTTGGGTTAAGCCTGAGTGCATTAAACAAGGCTCAAATATGCATGTCTTTCCTAACAAGTAACTGATAATGACATTGCTCTTTCAATATTAACGTGTGTTTTCCTGTTAAATAAAGAGGAAAAGTAGTTGGATTTAAGTCCCTTTTTACAAATACAAAACAAACAGACACTTGAAAAGGTCCCTGTATTATTGGGCTGTGCACAGTGGCCCACAGAGCTTCTGCAGTGATGAGGGTGATGCTGGGGAATGCTGCCCCCTGACCCAGAAAACTACAGGAGGTGACATAAAAGGGGGGTTATGGGAGAGAAAGAGGGGACAGCATTTTGTTACCCCACCACAGCAATGAACTCTGCACACTTTCCATGTGCCATGTGAAGTAAATGGTCCGATGGAGGGGAGGAGAGGAGAGGAGAGGAGAGGGGGGGGGGGGGGACACGTGAGGCTGGGGGAGACCATGGAGAAAGAATGAAACACACCGGTGTTTTCCGGCTGAAATGAAGCATGAAGAACACAGACACACACACACACACACACACACTTTCATAATGAAGGTTTTCTAGTCGAGGGGTAAAGGAGGAGCATCCCGCACGTACAGAACACCTTCGCTTTCTAAAAGATGCTGATGAGGCTCCCATGGTCTCAGATTCACTTGAAACCAATCAGATCTCTCACACAAAGCTACATTTGTGCATTTTTCCCCCTACAGACTGAAGTCTCATGTAACCAAGCAGCAGAGGTCCAGACACCACTATGGAGGGGTCTTCTTCAACGTTTAGCCTCCTGGCTGGCTCCACACCCCGAAGTCACTTATGGAACAGAGAGTGTGATTGTCCATTCACTCAGACACACTAACCTCAGCTACCATACTGTAGCCTACACACTATATCTGTCACACTGAAGAGAGGATGACAGGAAGCTGGCATCTGATCGTGGGGACAACTGCAAACATGGTGCATGCTGCAGAATATGTATTTGCAGGGGAAGAAAGACACAATACTCGTGAAAAACACAAACAAAAAGGTGTTTGAGGGACTAAGGTATGCAGTGAAGATTGTAAAACACTCAGACAAATGTGTGATAGTGGTTATACATTGATCCGACATAAATAGGAGTTTGATTTGAAGAAGTATGTTAGAAAACAATCCAGGCCTGACATTCTTCCAAACTATAGTCATCGCTTAGCTTGGATCAGGGACAAAATACCAAAGCACTGTGCACATAAGGTGACAGTTAGCCCCGCAACAAGTGGACAACAAGTGTGATTTTTAAAGAAACACACTGCACCATGAAGTAATGCAATAATACAAATATTGGAGTAAGGGAAAAGCACCATATCGTCAAAAGTTAAAACTTCCATTGAGCACATCGCACCAAAAGTCTCATAGAGGATGCATCATCGTTAAAAATAACTTCATCCCATGTGATTTTATTGCATCACCATTATGAAATGTCGCTGTATTTTTCCACTGGATAATTTAAAGGCACATTTCTATAAACTCCATGCAACAGGTTGATTTTCTGCACAGAGCTGCGGACTGCAGACTCTCAGCTCGGCAGTCTGGACTCTAGGCGGGCTGCAGACAAACTTTTCTTATTTTTAGATCGGAATCTGAGACTTCTCGGTTTAGTTATGTATCTGTATCGAGCTGAAAACTACTGCAAACAAACTAATAAACAACGAAAGACCAAATGAAACGTACCTCGGTAACTCTGAATGCAAGGCCTCCAATTGTTCCTTTGATTGTCCTACCACTTCAACTTCTGATGCATCGAAAAGTGCTCACATGGCAAGTTAGAGACAACATGTCGCTGTTTTCGGTCAGAGCCTTCAAAATAAAACCTCGACTGATGGAAGCAGTGTGCGGATGCTCGTTAAATTCGATAAATTAGGCTTAAAACGTACATCCAGGCATATCTTTAGACTATTTGTACTGTTTTATTCAATAACTAGCCCATCTGAGAGGTCATATTTCTTCGTTATTGGCGAAATGGAAGGAAATGTGATTAATGTGTAATGATAATACTTGTATTACATGAAATAAAAGGGGGATTAAGCAGCCAATAGAGATATGTCTTTCTGTTGTTTTTCACTTTTAGCATTGATTTTTTAATTATTTGCCAATTACTTTCAAGATAGATCATTTATTTTAGCTATCAACCAATTATACCTGTAAATGAAGCACCCTTAAACTACATTAGGAATTAAATAACCTTGTCACCCTCTTTATAACAATTATATTGCAAACCCAAACCCTATTCTATCTAATCTAAATATGTCAGTATATAACTGTCACGTTGCAATTTAATTCAATTAAGTATGCTTTATTTTGAAGTTGAAGCCACTCAACTTCCTGTATTGATCTTCCTACCGTTATGTGGCTTGACGCTTTTAATGCAAGAAGGGGCCAAGTCTGACGTCACTTTTTTAATTATATTCAGGCATTTGGGGAGAGATCAAATAGTGACAGATGTACTGCACAATCCCAAAGAAAGTGAAACTCATAGTGCGGAGAATTATGTCCCGTAATGTTCCACCACAGGTTACAGATTTAAGAAGAAAAGAAAAGACACTGAGATACAGACTATATATTTATTGACATACATTCAACAGAAGTGACAACACTGAGGTCCTATGTTTATAAATCTACAAGGAGTGTACATCGCAAACAGTCTGAGCTCAACACAGTAGGCAGCGTGGTTCATTTATCAAACAATATCTGCAGAAACTGATACTGTGGAAAATCTGTTTTTTGTGTCTGAAAATATAATCAATTATTGATAGCAATAAGACTGAGTGAGTGAGGAATAGACTTGAAAGTGATGGAATATTGTGAGACGGATCAGAAATCATCCCAGTTTGTGCACAGCTCAGATCCCTCAGTGTAATGACTGCACGATGCACTGCTGTCCACAGGATCCTTAATCTGAAAGACAGTTCAACAATAAATAAAGAGCTATATTTATTACAAGAGGGTTCAAATAGCAGAAACAAAGCCGAACCAAACACGTCTTACTTTGGGAATAACTGGAGGGCTTAGCGTGCCTTTACAGAGTCCGTCCCAGTTGAATCCTTCAAACCATCTGATTGAAAAAGGAGAATCACATGCTTTTAATCCATGTTTTCAAGTGCAGTCATCTGTGTCCTTCAGGGCATTAAAGCTGCCGTCTTACTTGTGCTTCTGAATGTCCTTGGCCCCGTTTCTCTGGCTGCCCAGTCTCTCCGAGGGATTGCTCCTTGGTGATGGAAAGAAAACAAGAACACAAATAAATAAACTGATTTAATAATCAGATTCACTGCTTCAAGGGGTGTTGTTGTGTGCAACACATCTGCATTCATTCTTATGTTCTCCTCTCGGGTTGTGTTTGGGCTTTAAGAGGTGAATATAATGTATAACATAGTGGAAGGGTGTCTAAAAGTGGTGTTAGTGTTTGTCTGAAAAAGCACCATGAAATAGCTTTCACATTGAAACTCATGGTGTCTAGTGGGTCATATTTACACCACCTGCACATTTTCTTGATGAGACTTGAGGCACTTTTGCTGATGGTTTTAGGGAAGTCGATCTGATCGATGCCACGAATGGTTGCAGTGAGAATATTTAGCGGGTCAGCGTCGCTGAACGGGAGCCTGGAGAGAAAAACATGAGCCTGTCACTGTCACTTCAATTTAAAAGAAGATTGAACATGAGATTGCGAAAAAAGTAGGGCTGCATTAAACTGTGAAACCTACCAACCACTCAGAAGTTCAAACACTAAAACGCCAAGAGACCAGAAGTCTGCAGAAGTATTATGGCCTTTGTTCAAGATGATTTCAGGTGCCATGTAGCCCGGCGTGCCGCAGAACGTCCAGGTTTTCTTACCCACCTCTACCTTCTTCAGACATCTGGATCCAATCTAGAAAACATGGATATAAGTTGTTAAAACCTACAAAAACTACAATTTCATATTCACAACCTGAACTTAAGTTTGTAACCAATTGTAGTACCAGTTTGGCATAACCATGCTCATCCAGAACAACATTTTCTGGCTTGATGTCTCTATAGACGACACCTCGACAGTGAAGAAAGGTCAAGGCTTCAACAACACAAGCCGTGTAAAACCTGGCGCTGCAATCGTCCAAACATCCTCTGAAACAGAATGTGCATAAAATAAATGTGTGATTTAGATGTAATACATCAAACTGCATAGTGATGAAAGTATTATGGTATCTATACATATTTATCAGTATGTTGACAAAGTGTCTTGCATCTTCTTTAATACAGAAATCCTTACTTATCTTTAAGTGGGTTGCATAAATCCCCACCAAGACAAGCTTCTGTCAGGATGTACAGGCACTCTGTGTCTCTGAAGGTTTTATGAAGCCTTGATCAACACACATATAGAAACATTTTAAAGGTCATTTACATGTCATGTAAACCCCAACAATCCCTATAGGTATACCTGCTGAAGGACACACACCTGGCTATGAATGGACAATGAGCCTCCAATAGGATGCGCCCTTCTCTCAGAATGTGCTCTCGTTGACCATTGTTGAGTATCAGCTTTTTTTTAAGGACCCTCATGGCATAAAGACACTTGATGTTGCTCTTTAGTTGCACCTGACAGGGATGGAAATCAGTAGATTACATTATAGAAACATGGAACCTGGAGGAGGCAGCTGCATAGGGGCATCTGTGTCATTTTGTGAGATCTATCCTTACCAGGTCTACGTGACCAAACTCCCCAACGGCTAGGGGACAGACGATCTGGAAATCACTTAAAGTGGAAGATGAGACGAGATCAGGGCCCTTTTCTGACCTGTTCACAAGCAGAACACGGGTAAGCTTATACTTTGTGTTTTCTACGTGCAGGTTACATGTTTTTGTTGTGTAAAATAGTGTTTTTAAGCTCCTTACTCTATTTTGGATTGATGGCTTTGCTTCACCTCATGACTGCAGTCAAATACCAACCCACCGAGGCTGTCTTTGAAGGTCCTGAAACACATGAATATACTTCAAATATATGGATAAGCACATCAAAGTATGACGAAGTATTGATTGGCAAACGATTCCATTACTAGTTGACACAAAATATTGACTTACTCCCTGTCTATGACCAAGCATGTAACTTCACCTGCAGCAACCACATCCACAGTGCGAACATCCTCTCTGAGAAGAAGACATTTTGTCATTACTGCACAAAAAATAACTTTGTCTTTGTCGCACAAATACCCATGGGCGGTTCTAGGGGGGGGGCAAGAGGGGCCAGCGCTCCTTTAACACAGAGCTTGGATCCCCGTAAACATCTATGATAAAACAATTTGTGAAAGTGTTGCAGCAAAGACTGTGCTGTAACCTTGGCTAAAGTTAACAAGGATGTTTTATTATTCAATAATGTGATTTCATTGAAACTAATTCTGTTTCTCAAACATATATCAAGGAATTAAATAAAAATCAAATAAAAACAAAGTTTGGCTACAGAAATACTTTTTTTTCTTCGAAGACTGTGACTTCGGCCAAGTCACTTCAAATAAGTTACTAAACTAAAACACAATTTTTGTTACTTCACCAATAATGGTAATGGCACTATGACTCTATACTAAACTAAAAAGTTTGAATATTGAACACTGTCTTTGTCTCCTTTTACTTGTATATAGACTCTTATTTCACTATTTCACTTTTTTTTTACTATTTTTCTTTTTGTATTTACTATTTACTTGCACTATTTTGTTTCTGTTTTTCTGTTTTATTGTGTTGCACTGTTGGAGGAGCCTGTGACCTAAGATTTTCATCATCATAACTACACTGTAACTATGTTCGTATGACCAATAAAAGCCTTGAACCTTGACATTTGTCCCCAAATAAATGCACCCCTCTCATTGAATAACTGGTTAAATAATTGGTCTAAAACCGCCACTGCAAATACCATCTTACACCTTATGCACATTTCCTGAAAGTGCATTTCTTCCTCCTTACCCCCACAGAGCTTTCTCTCCAAACCACTCTCTCTCAGACAGCTTAGAAAGGACAATCTGCTCTTCATGGCCGGCCTTCTTCTCCGTCACATTTACCTGGAAAGCACAAAATAGGGAGGTAATGAAATAGAGGTCTTGCTTGGCTGCAATGAAAAACACCAAAGTCAATTATCACAGAGTAATGCAATTTCTAAAGCAGCTCTGACATTTTGTCCTCCACAATCTAAATCGTTTTCTCTAAAAGCTTGGTCTCATCCGTGCAGCAGGCAGAGAGCATCAAACTATACCTGGCCTTTGGTAAGGATATAAAAGGTGTCTCCTGTGGCCCCTTGTCGAATGATGTAGTCCCCTTCATTGTAGTGTGTCTAGGGATCATAAATCACAGAGGAGCAAAGTGTAGAAAATAATCTAAAAACAGCACGAAAAGACAGAGAATCTACTTTGTTTCAGATGTAAAGATGAAGCCCCATAACAAAGGAGGGTCTGTTCTGATTCTGCCCCAGCACTGCCTTGTTAACTGATACAAAACAAAGAAGGCTGAAGCAAAGGAGTCTGTAAACAATCATGTTTACACACGTTGTATCTGTGTGTACACATAATCTATCAGCTGAATTCTGTTTGAGGAATGAGTGATTGCTTTAGGTTTTAAAAAAGTAATCTGTACCTCCTCCATCAAATCAGACATTTTCATGATGACGTCCTCCGGCAAAGACTGCAGGAAGGGAATGCTGCAGAAACACGAGCACAATGACAGGTTTGAAAGGAGTTTTTCTACATTTCATTTCATTTCAAACCTTTATTTATCCAGGTTGTATCACATTGAGATCATTGATCTCTTTTTCAAGGGAGACCTGCTCAAGTAGGTTCCACATGAAACATTAAAAACATAACAGAGCAACAAAAGGACATCATACAGTAGCATTACAGGGATTACAATTTACATAACTATCCACATGCACAGGTACCAACAGCTTCCGATTCAGTAGCATCCAACCGAGCTTTAAAAACATTTAGTGGCACCAGATTGCTCAGTTTCCATTTTAATTGCAGACTATTCCAAGACAGTGGAGCTGCGCATCTAAATGCTATCTTCCCTAAGACAGTCCTAGCAGTTGGCACATTTAATAAAACCACAGCATGCGATCTCAGGCAGTAGCCACTTACAATTCGCCGTGAGATCAGGGAGCAGATGTAGGATGGAAGTTTCCCTAACATGGCTTTATATATAAAAACTACAGAGAGACATGTCATACAAATGGTAATATTTCAGTCGGTGTCAAAGGCCTGAATACAGCCTTGTGGCAACAGACATCACATTGATCCTGGTAATACAGACGCTGGAATACAAAGCAGCTTTCCAGGCCGGCTCCCTGTCAAATGAAGTGTATCGTTTCAATGTTTACCTGCTAAGCAGCTCCATCGAATGAGAAAGGCTGTTGAGACCGCTCTGCATAAGTATAGTCTGGTAGCTTTTGCGATCAATAACCCACAGCTTGCAGTCCGTCTGCGCTGTAGGTCAAAAGACAGAAAAAGTGATGCAGGTTGTCAAGGAAAATCAAATAGTATTGAAACAGCTCTGTAAGACACGAGTAAGTGGATTGAATGCAGAATCAGCTACATCCTAAAGAGCAGACTCTATTAGAATAAAAATAAATGCAAGTGCTTAGTTTCTTACAGACACTTTTAATATAAATCTAATCTCATTTCCTCATTTTTTATGACTCTTTCTTTTGAATAGATATTAAAAGAGGGGCTTGTGAATTAATGATGACCCTTATTGATGAATTCACTGAAGCTTCCTGCAAACAGAAGTATCCTAGACGGCCTAATGAGATCTGATACTGTGGTGCAGAACGGATGTCTCAATTCCCTCCATATGGGAATACCAAATCAGTTTAACATACTGCACTATGTGACATAGAAATATTGCATTTCATGAGCTAATGCATATAATGCTTTGCCCTGAATGGTATAATAATGTAAGTTATACAGAAAAACGTACAGCCATGTGCATTTTTAATCATTCTCTTAAATACATTAGCCATCAGAGTTATAATTACATCATGGCTAAGCATTTATACTATTGTTTTTTAACACTGACAGAAGGACTTTCGAGAGATAACCTAAGGATTTTAAGGGCTTTTGCAATCCATTGTGTGTTTCTATTTGTACGAATTGTTTCCAGAACTCCACTGACTGCGATGCAGATGCTGAGGGTGTTTTTATATACCGAAGCAACTGAGAAAAACTAAAGTAAGATAAATATTGCCCTTAAAGGAAGATTTTCTGACATTTTCTGCAGCAAATAATTTTTCCACCTTGAACTTTCCAGCCTGTAAAAAAAAAGCCCCGTATTCACCTGCACCTTTATCACTCACAATGAATGAGACCACGAGCAAAAGCCTTATTGATGGTCTCAGAAGGCAACAATGGAGAGAAAAAGTAATTTCAGGAGAGGGTGGAGATAAATACAGTGGGCCTTGAACAGATCTGAGGGCCGGCCTGAAAGAAATGTACATGGAACAAAGGACAACAGACCGCCGACATGAGAGAAAAGTATATAACAGTTAATAGGAATTGGTTGAGAAAATGGAGAAAAGGGGAATGAGATGCTTAGGGACCAAACAAGGCAAATGAATGGAATTTTTCAATTTAAACCGTTCCTGACCATCTTCACAGACTATTTATTTGTTAAACCAGGTCAGATGCTAGAAAAGTTTTCCCTCAAGACTCCGTGATCAGACGCTAGAAGGAAATGACAACACACTTTCTAAAGAATATCACACATTCTCACATCAGAAATGTATATATATAATAGGTTGTGTTCCAACCACGAGCAGATTGAATCGAATATGCTATTTGGCAATGTTTGTGAAAATTCAGTTAATGCATTTTGGATTGCAGGGAGGGGACGTAGCAGTCAGACAGCTCTGTGGCATGCAGCAAAGCAGAAAAGGTTTTAAATTCCTCACGTCTCTGAGAAAACTGTTTGAAGCTTTGGTGTTGTCTAAGATCTCAAAGAGTCTTTGATTCTAGATTCAAAGGACGTCTGTAAGAGACCACCGACTGAGATACGCCTGCCTGTGATGTTCTCAAAACAAGAATTATTTATATCCTCACCAAGTCAAATCTAATTAAAGTAAAAGTCCACCAGTGGTACGGTGCAACACAACTCCAGCGATGTCTGCATGCAAATATAAAACCAAGAACACAGTTATACCTGAGACAGAGTAGGTGTGTGTGCAGTTGTAGAGAAGACTCAGCTCTCCAAACATGTCTTCTGGCTTAATCGTGAGAAGCTTCAATCCGTCTTTTGTCACATCCAGGCGCCCTTCTGTTCAGAAACACACAGAAAGATGCAACACATGGAGCTGTTGTTGTGCATGTGTTTTTCTGTCAGGAAATGTATCGAGACTGTTGAAAAGCCTCAGCTGTCTGAACAAACTACTGATTTGCAATCATCCCTGAGCGAATCAAGGCCACTACCTCTCTCTTGTTAGGATGACAAGCTAATAATAGCAAGGAGCCACTCTCCATTAGCTGATACATTACAAATGCAGCCAGATTCCTGAGGACAATCAGACGCTGATGAACTCTGAGCAGAACCTCTTTTCTCCTGTCTTTTACCTCAAGTTGACATTTCAACACAAAGCACATCAATTTGGGTCACTTGTTATCCCAAGTGGCTCCCCTTGTCTTGCTCAAACGTGCAATACTCCCATCGCTGTCTTTGAGTGCAGTGTCATATTACCATCTGATCAAATTGTGAGGCAGCAGTAAGAAGAACAATTATATACAAAGATAAAATGAAACCAATCATCTCATATGGCTGTTCTTAAGCACCTGTCATCTCAAGGAAATGTTAATAAATATTCTCAAGGTTGATTAATGCTAGCAATTGTAAGAAGGACATGATTTACCTTCTAAAACGTAAGCCTGAGCCCCCCAGGCCCCCTCCTGAACGACATAGCAGCCCTGATTGATGGTGGAGGGACACATACAGGCTGTGATGGCTCTGACTTCTCCTTCGTCAAGGTTTTTCAACAAGGCGTTCTTTGAAAACGCTGCCTGAATCAGCCTCTGAGACCTGAGTGCACATAACAGTGATGTAACATAGCCTTGAATGCAGCATTGTTTGAAAATAACAAATATATTCATTGATTCTGAGTCATGCACAGAGCAGTAGGTGAGCCTTGAACTTTCCAGAGATGTGTGTGCTCTTACTCTTTGCTTTTATCACAGATTCTTTGTGAAACCATGGCGAGAGTCACTGGGTCCAGACTGAAGGGTTCAGAAATGACTGTTTTCCTATTGGCTCTCTGCAAGTCCTCACCATGAACTGAGCAAGCTATAGTAGAGGAAAAAAACAAAACAAACAGAAAGTCAGGTTTTAGGCTTGTGGTACCTGTTGATGGTTCCAAACATTGAATTAAAATGTACCTGCACTGGCTGCAGAGGACCCTGGGAGGGAGACGGATGCTCGGTACCGATCCAGTTCTTCCTGCAGTCTCCGGATGAGTTCATCCTTTGTATCCAACTCCAACTCTAACTCATCTATGAGTGTGTCCCTCTGGCGAAGCTCCTCAATCTTTAGTTGCAGGGCAAACTGGAGGTCCCGAAGTGTACCCATTACCTGCAAAGTTGAATACATATATAGATATATAGGGTCATACAACCCATAATGTTCCATTTCTGAAGAATGTTGAGTTCGATTTTTGCAGCTACAATGTCATTTAACTCAAAGTTTGACAGCTACTTGCATTTCTATCTGACTATTTATAACAAAAGTATTCATATTAGTAACAATAACACAGGGAATCAATCAATTATAATGGATTAATTGGAATAGAACACATTGGAGACGTTGCATTATGCTTCCAATACACATGTACAAAAGTGCTCTATGCAATATAGACGGACATAAATGTGATAGATAGATAGATAGATAGATAGATAGATAGATAGATAGATAGATAGATAGATAGATAGATAGATAGATAGATAGATAGATAGATAGATAGATAGATAGATAGATAGATAGATAGATAGATAGGTAGGTAGGTAGGTAGGTAGATAGGTAGGTAGGTAGGTAGTTAGGTAGGTAGTTAGGTAGATGGATAGATAGATTTTCAGCAATGTTTTACAACAGGTTGAATAGAACAAAACATGCTCAAGAATATTCCAATGACACAGTTTCCTCTGCAATGCAAATAAGACTATAAATCTGTCTTTGCTTTATGGGCTTGCAGGACTTTGTGCAGTACTTAAATTAATTTCCAGGGTCAACATAGGCTACATGCACAAATGGATTTTGTGGCTACACAGGCTACAATATGTTTATGCAATCCCTGTATTTGTCATATGTTTATCTTTTTCACCATTACAAAAAATACTGTATGAATTCAAGGACAAGAGTACGAGACAAACGCTTAACAAAGAAAAGTAGCTTTGGTAGCTGAACGAGATTCAAGGGAACAGTTCAGATTGAGACAAGGTCATTGTAGACTCTGTATTAAGTCACACACACTTTGTGTGTAAGCAGGAATCATACATGTTGTTTTTTATGTTGTATTTTGTGTCGAAAGCGCAAGCTGGTAACATTTGACAACAGCGTTTACATTTCTCAAATACTGATTGTAAACAAACATGCATGTTCTGGATAAAATATCATTCAAAATTATCACCGCGCACACACAAAGCTCACTTACCAGATGCAGCCTTTCCGGGGCTGAGGGAGTCTTCCTCACTTGTCCAATGTGTGTGTCTGCAGCCGTCAGTCCATGCGACAGGTGCCGATCTGTCTGCAGCCGCACAGCTGAGAGATGCTCCTCTGCACGGGTCTGTAGGCTGGGCTCAGACAGCAGCAATCACATGACCAAGACAGTGGAGACCATCCGGGAGGCTGGAATGAGAAATGCATGGACTGAAACCCAATTGGGTCAGAGGGTCTTTGGGGTATTTCCAAAACTCCGGGGATTGGTGGGTCTCCGGAAAACTGAGCGGTGAGCATGAAGCATTTCATTCCCCAGATACTTCGCTCAAGTGAAATAGTTGGATTGAAGTCTGTGTGTGCACTGATTAGTGGTTGTTTTATCTCCAACTTCACCTGCAAAGTGGCATACATATCCTGACAGAGGCAGTATATAAGAATGCATAAATGGTGGCAGAACAATTGTTGTGTCTCAGTTGGACTGATGCAAACCTCTTGAAAATAGTTATGTTGATTACTACCAATAGTCACTTAGGCTGAATAATAGTTAATTGGAATAAGGTATAGGTGAGGTTTATTGCCTAGTGTTTTCATTGCATGTCTTTTTGGAGCATTCAATAAACATATAAAGAGGGAAAAAAACAAAATATATAGAATACAGTATTAAAATAACATTATAAGGACATACTATAAAAAAGTGTTATAACAAATATGTTCGCTTTGTCCGTTTATTAGATGTGCAAGATAGGTATTGAAAGGTTTGTAAAAAAAAGTTCATAAAGAACAATAATTTATGTGCAATGTGAAACAGCACAAAACCACGCGCACCAACACATAATGATAATTTGGGGTCAAATAAAGACACCAGCCCAATAGATACAAGACCCAAGCAAAGACAGTTTATATTCAAAACGTTTAGTCATTAAAAAAGGAATTCATTATAGGCCTATTGACAATTAACAAGTAGTTTCATAACTAAGATAGATATTTAGAATACATGATTTGATCTGTGTTTTAAGAACATTTCCCTCATCTTTCCTATTCATATTTAATTATAGTCTAATTATCTTGAGCAGAAAAGATAATCATAATGTTTTTTGGGTAATCCTGCACACACAGAGCCGTCATACCTCCTCCCGTCAGCAGGTGGCGGTGGTGTCTCCAGAGAGCAGCATCAGAAGAAGATGGGCCGTTGACAAGAGAGGAAACCGTTTGGCTATCTTGAGTTGGCAAAGTAACCTGACTTTAACATATTGAATTGCCTACATTTGAAACTGAAACTGCTGTTGTGTTTGGTTCAGGGTAACATCGAAAATGATCCTTACCGTGAAACCGCTTCAGGGAAAAGAATGCAGTGTTCAGGTGAGTGAAGAACCGTTGAGCTAGCTCTGTGCTAACTGTTAACTACCTACTGATAGCTTCATTAGCAACATTAGCTAGCCTTTATATGCATGCTAACGTTAGCCGACAGAGGTGGTCCCTTTGAGTGAAGCAACCATCCACATCATGTTTTTCTTAAGATATAACATAAGGCTATCCATTTCTAAGGAGTGTTTAAAAAAAAAAAGCTGTCGCACTTTCCATCCTTGCTCAGTTATGAATCCACGTAAATGTTACTCTAGCTAGCTTGTTAGCAATATCTTTAGAAAATACATGACAACGAAAACTGTAACTACACCAGTTTCTCTTCTCTCTTTTTTAGCTTTTTATTTGTATTTTCAAAGTTATAAACAAATTGGTTGAGTGTGATCTCTGTAAGTCCTTATTTGGTTTGTCTTGTAGGTAAGGGAAGTCACTACTAAGCAAATACTTTAAGCATTATCGTAGGACAATGGTTATAGTAAGCACATTAGTATGAGTTGAGATGATAAGATTTACTTTTATTGATCCCAGTTTGGGAAATAAATTGGCACAGCAGCATGTAGACAAGCATCGAACATGAATTGAAAATGTAATAAATAGTAAATAAACTTAAACAGCAAATATATATGTTTAAACAGTAACAAATAAACACACAGAACAGTACATATATCAACAGTGAAAGATGTATAGTCTCTCTATTGAATATATACAATATTAATATTCAGATTAACAAATATAATTGAAGTCAGTGTACTATGATATGCCAGCCCACCATTTACAAACATTAATTAATAATTAACATTATAAGTTAACAACGTATACTGTTTGCATAATAAGTTAACTACAGTTTGGATTAGATTTAAATGTACAAGGTACAGTTTTGAAACCGTATATACAAATAAGTAAAGGGTTATTGAAAAGGATATCTGGTTAAGCTAGTTAGTTAGATCAGCATTAACTATTAACTAACTTGCATTATACTAGCGTTTAGTTACTTGTCTTACTATTCAAAGTATGTGAGGTTATTTTTTCTGGCCCCACTTTGTGCATCTCATGTTTTTAATTGATAACGTTACTGTATTCAAACTGGGGCTATACTATCGCCTATACAGTATATTATATAAACACCCAAACCTGCTCATTAATGAAGCGTATAAACTGTATCATCATAGGGTCCGCTGTGGTTTATAATATGATGCGTATGTTACTGCAATACTTTGTGTGTAGAACAATGCTCATGCCTAGTATACTGTAATCTAGAGCATGTGATGATCTATTCATCACATGGGGAAGTATTTCATAATAGCAGATTTAATGTTGTATTCAGCAGAAGAGAAGTGACTCTATGTTCTGGTATCTTAAACTGCGTAAGAGCTCAATATGCAATGTTTCTCCTGAATCATTTCTGAAAGTACAAAAGTACCTGCCCACTGTGTAACCTACCTATTATCTGCTATGTCTCAGTGCTTATGGGATACTACCACTATAGGCCAGTGACTGTTTATTTTCTATAGCGAATATTGTGGTAAAGAGACTGTTTAACAGAGGTAGATGCAACCTGAAGAATTTGTCACTTGTCCATGTGAATTCCTCTGAATTTCAGATTGACTACACTCTTTTAAAATGTCAGTATGCTTCAGCTAAACAGAAGAACATAATGTTTGCCAAATGTAACATAGTATGCCATCTTGTTGGTGTTCCTGCAGGTGACTGAAGATGAAAAGGTCTCCACCGTTAAGGAACTCGTGTCAGAACGTCTCAACATACCAGCGAACCAGCAGCGGTTGCTCTACAAAGGGAAAGCGCTTGCAGGTAGATTCGCCAACAGTCAAGTGTTTTATAATCTTTGTGCACGACTCATTTCTTCATTCACCGATCTATCTTGTACATAAATCAAACGTTTACTAATGAGTGTATAATATATTGCTTTCCTCAGATGAACACAGACTATGTGATTACTCCATTGGGCCAGAGGCTAAATTGAATCTGGTGATCCGTCCGGTGGGAGAGAGGACGGGTCCTTCAGGGATGTCTGCCGGCAGCAGCAGCAGCAGCTCGCAGGGCAGAGTGTGGCAGACCGTGTCCACTGTCCTTGCCAAGCACTTCAGTCCAGCAGATGCAGCAAAAGTCCATGAACAGCTTATTAAGGTATTAAAGAATCAGAATCAGAATACCTTTGTTAGTCCCACAGAGGGGACATTTACATTGTTACAGCAGAAAAGAGCCATTTAGCTAATCCTCTCTGACGTTATTAACAGTCCATTTTTCCCGTTTGTATTTGTTGCTAGCAGTGTAGCCAGCATCACATGCCTTAGCCCAGTTATATATAATTCATAAACAAATGGGAATGAGGTCATAAGATAATAGAAATAAATGTTCTTGCATGTTGGCAGTGAAAGTGTTTTTATGAATGTCATTCTATTTAGCCATCATAAAAGCTGCTTTTACATTTAGGGGCTGGATCCTCAAAAGTGTGAATACATTCTTAACAGCTCAAGTCTTCTCCAAATATGGCCAATAAATGCAGTTTTCCTTTTTCTCAAATATGAAAGACTCAACAATTAAATCCTGTGAAGCCCTCTGTAGATAGATAGATAGATAGATAGTACTTTATTGATCCCAAATTGGGAAATTGTTGTTGTTACAGCAGCATAAAAGGCATTTTACAATTATATCGACCAACCCATTGTGTTTGGAACAGGTGTTAATCAGAGCACAGTCACGCTCAGTGGCGGCGCCAGATCATTTCTTTTGGGGGTGCTGTGGGGTAGCTTGACGTTTCATAGAGGGTGCTCAAACATTTAGGGTTTCCCATTAATGTACCGGGCGCTACAGTTGAATGTTCTACTGCAACACTCCCCACGCGCACATACACAGTGTACCCGCGACTGTTACAACTAAGGCTCGATAATCAGCTCACGGCATATAGGTGTAAGCAGGGGTAAAGTGCTATTTTTTTTATAAGTGGGAAGTGGACCTAACCTCCTCTAAGGGGGTCCGGGGGCATGCTCCCCCAGGAAGATTTTTTTTTAAATATTGAAGTTAAAAGCATCAATCTGGTGCACTTTGAGAGCAACATGAAGAGATCTCTGGATACATCTCTCAACACCCATATGAAGCAGAACTGTAAAATGATTTTCTTTTTCTTTATGGATATTTTACAAATCACTCTCCTTTTAAACTGTATTCTTGATTTACTGTCATATAGTATTTCATACCTGTTTTTCATTTATGCTCTTATTTTTTTATACCTATAATGATCATATAAACGTGTGCCTCAGAAATACTTGTTTACATTAATCGTGACCAAACCGTTTTGAGACCCACTGAGATAACTTAGACTAAAGTTAACTATCTAAACACTGAGAGAGTCCTTTACTTCACCTGAGCTGAGGTTATCTGAGAGGAGAGAGTTCTCCCTCCACCTTGTTGTTGAAATAGCTCCTTATATCTGTTAGCGTAGCTAGCACCAGATGCTAACCACAACGATCTCCGGTACCGGTGCGCTCTCTCTCGCTCGCGCACGCACTCTCGCTCGCTCGCGCACGCACACAAAATGGCTTGTGCCACACACACACACAGAGCAGAGTTTGAATGAAACAGAGACCCAGAAGTAGGCTACTTGTACTGTAGCATATTATTTTCGAATCAATCCTTTTTCAAA